CTAGAGAAGAAACTCCGTGAAAACCAGGGAGGCTTCCGAAGAGGTAGAGGCTGCTTAGACATGATATTCTCACTCCGGTTGTTTATGGAAAAGTGCTTAGAATACCAACTGCCAGCACTTGCTGTATTTGTAGATTTCAAGGCTGCCTTTGACAGTGTTCATAGACCCTCCATGTGGCATATCTTACAGGAATATGGAGTACCACACACGTACATTCGGCTAATCCAATGTGTGTACAGGGAATGCCAGGCATCGGTTATTGTATATGGTCAGCAAACAGACTGGTTCAAGATTGAGACAAGAGTAAGACATGAATGTGTGTGGTCAGCCCTGCTCTTTGGTGTTCTCATTGACTTTGTCCTCCGAAAACCATGTGATAACAAGCAGGCAGGCATTCTGCATGAGACGGCTCACACAAACACTCAGAGGAATCCAACCTAGATGGTATCTCTCTGACTTGGATTTTGCGGATGATGTTGCCTTGCTCGAATCCAAGTCCGCAAGTGGCACAGATCACTCCATAACCTGGGGAAATCTGGCGGAGAGGTTAGCCTGACCATCTCACGCCCCAAAACCAAAGCTATGGGGATTGGAGATGTGGACCCTGCAGTGATCACGCTGGAGGATACTCCTGTTGAGGCTGTGGACAGTTTTAAGTACCTGGGTTCTTATGTCACAATGACCAATAAACTGGACACAGAGATCCAGGTGAGGAAGGGTAGAGCATCATCAGCCTTTGCACAGCTGAGTGATGTGTGGAGAAGTAAAACCAGCCTGAAGGCTAAACTTCGCATATACAATGCTGTGATAATCACCACACTACTGTACGGAGCAGAGACGTGGGCTACCACCCTCACGGAAGAACACCAGCTGGATGCTTTTGAGAAACAGGGCCTCAGAAGGATCCTGGGAGTACGATGCTTCCATCGAGTACGAAATTCGGCCATCAGGGAGAGAGCTCAACAGCCACCAGCTAGCCTCCCTGCGACAATGGCGGATCCAGAGGGGGGGGGGGTCAGGGGGCCATGGCCCCTTCCAAACGCATGACGATTCATATCATCTGGATTACGCATAGCTTCTCTGCGATTTACGGTCCGTATATCTTAAGCGAAGCTTGGACCCCCCCAATACATTTTGCTGGATCCGCCACTGCCCTGCGATTGCGGCAAAGGCGACTCCAATGGTTCGGACATGTATGTTTGTAGAGGGCGTATTGCACGACCATATGAGATAAGGGATTGGTCAGTTACTTCGGCCTAAGAGGGGGTCAGCAGATTCCATTTTGCCAGCTGTAAATCTCAGTTGACCCACCCCCTATCAAATAAAAAAAAGTGGGTGACCCCCCCAAACATTATATTTTAAAACTTAAAACATGCTGAACCCCCCCCCCCCCAAAAAAAAGAAACATTAACAGTTTTGGCTCTGACATGATTACAAAATGTATTATATGTGCATTGAAAATATCATGGTTTGCCATAATTTTGTCATAATTTTTAGCTTTTGCATTTAATAGACCTTAGGAGGGGAGGGGAAGCATAAAGCCAAAAAATGACTACAGAAAAGGCTACAGGAAGGAGGGAAATCTATGTTGCTAAAAATAGTAAATAAAAGCAAAGCTGTGGAGTACTCACTCGATATATGCCCTTAATTTTAATTTATATATCAGCATTTTCATAAATTTAACTTTTTTGACTTGCTGAACAAAAACTGTCACTGCTCTTTGTACTAACTGCTGTGTTGTCTTTCCGTCTCCTGTTATAATTGAATAAATCCAGTAAATATCTTATACAATGGTGACTTCAGACTTTAAATAAAATAATCTGATATCAGCAGCACATGGACTTGGGATGTGTTTAAAACTTAACTGTATAATTGGGGTTCAAGCCACATTGCATAATCTGTTAGTTATTTGGCAACTTCAACCTCAAAATATTTAGCCTATAACATTTTTTGCATCAACAAATTTATAGGTAATAGTTATTATTAAGAACACATTTGTACGATTAACTTTTTTATCGTTTGTTCTGAAATAATTTTTTTTTAAATATATGCATGAGTGCGTGTGAATTCTGGAAAACATATCAAAAACTGTAAATATACACTTACAGGATTTGTTTATATATTATATTTTTCAGTTTACCTGGCTGCAAAGGCAAAAGAGCAAGGCTTACCAGACATATCCACCAAAGTATTCAATGGAAAGTTTACAGCCAAACGTGGGAATGCAAGAAGTGATGAGAAGTACAAACTTGAGAAAATGTATTCCAAGAATGGCTCCAGAAATTAACTATTAAAGGAAAAGTCAAGGCTAACAACATAATACTCCCAGATAAAAAAGCTTGGCAAATGTAAGAACATGCAATTTACAGTTTTGTATATCGCTTTATTCTCAAGATATTCAAATTTTCATCAATTTATGTAGTCCGCCATCTTGATTCTTCAGCAAAGGATTATGGGTAAAGTGTGACACCATAGAATCTGTTGTCAGAAATTGAGAAAATGATTTCATCTATAACTTCAAAAGTTGAACTTTAAATTGACTGAAAGCTTAGAACATGGTAGTATACATATAAAATAGTTGTCGTGGAAACAGAACTGAAAATATTTATTTTTATGTTTTTCTACCAAATGCCCAAATTTCCTTATATTGAATACAATTTACCCATGTGAGTAGGTTATATAGGTGATATATTACCTGTTGACCACAAAAAGGGGACAAAAAAGTGTCATTCTATATATTTCATGACTAAAATAACAATTTTTAACGTTTTTGGCAATATCTTCACTTTATGTATATTTGTAACATTCTAATTTCCATTACTATAATTATATACAAGAGTAATATGCACAACGAAAATTTGAACTATGCTTTACCCATATTCCTTTGCCTGAGAATCAAGATGGTAGACTACATAATACTGATGAAAAGTTGAATATCTAGAGAATGAAAAGTGTTATAAAAAAACTGTAAATTGCATTCTCCTACATTTGTGGAGCTTTTTCTTGGGGGGTCATTGTGTTGTTTGGCTTACTTTTCGTTTAACTTTAATAGGACATCTTTATGTCTTTATCTTTAGCAGCAATGTGTTAATCTAATATTTTTAGAAAGTTTATCACTATTGTATTCATTTATATTCATTAATATGAATAAATAAAAGTAAGGTACCGTAATCCTTTTTGTGTATTATTGTATTTATACAATGAAGGTGGATAAGTGACTGGGTATTAGAACCATGTTGATTTGGTTTTCTAATGCCAGTGTGATATTGCAATTCAACCTTGTTGACTGAATGATAGAAAACAACAAGGTTGTTGTAAATATATTTAGCATCCCACACCAGCTGTCAAGAGTGACCTACTAGTCTTTGATTACTAATACTAGCTTTCCATTTGTGAGCTTACTAGTCATCGTGCTAGTGTTCGAAGACTAGTATTACTATTCATACTTTTTTCTCACTAGCTGTCAAAAAGGCTACCAATTAGTCGTCGAGTGTTAAGCTCATTTAAATTTTTCGTCCTATACGAGAACTCGGCGAAAGCTAACTGAAGACTAAGAAGGTTTTGACAACTAGTTTTTCTCAATATTAACACTCAGAAAATCCACTTAAGTTATCAAAACTGTTATAGTTGTCATTGACCTTGTCCCTTAGTTTTCGAAGACTTACTTTGAGAACTTGCCGATAACTTAATGATAGCTATCCACCGGATTACCAAAATGGAATGTTGATTATCATATAATTTTTTTTTATTATAGTACATGTGCTGCGTGCGTACCCGACCAATTGCAGAAATGACATGTGGAATGCCTTTTGATGTACGTTTTTGTGCAGTTATTTTCATGCAAACGTTCATGATTTCCAAACATTTTGTTCAGGTTATTGCAGCGACTTATCTACATCTGGCGTACAACCAACAGAGAAGCATTCTGGAAATGTCCAATCTGAGAATCTGGGACATAGAAGAGAACCAGTTCTCCTCTCCCGTGAGACGGTATATTGTCATGCAATGCCGAACCCTGTAAACTTAGAAGAGCCAACCAAAGACGCGGGAAAGTAGATATCAACCTAAACAACAATTTGAACAGAAATTGATACCATATTCGAAATGTAAAATGTTTATTCTTTTTAATGCGGTAAGAGTTTGCAAATTGTAAATGTACATATTAAAACAGGTGCATTTTGCACGAAACCATTGGGCCAGGTGTATGTTTTGCACAAGATTGGTACTTTATTTGAATGCAAATTAGTAAACACTGCAGGTTTATTCATATTTAAGTCTATCAATAAAACTAGGGTTTAGTAATTTGAATATCAATTCACCCGTCAATGTTTACTACTTTGCATACAAACAATAGGTGTTACCACGAATAAATGAACAGTGAAAAATGATGCGTATGACCATGTGCAGAGCTGCTAAATCGTCCACCACCGAACAGAAGACTCCATCGCATGGGGAAGATAAGAGAGGAACTGCAGCTCTTCCTTGACCCCAACAATTGGAGAAGTCCAGAAGGCTGTAGATCAGCTGAAGAAATACAAGGCGTCAGGACCAGATGGGATACCGACTGAGCTCATTCAGCACAAACCAGATATTCTGGTAACCCAGCTCTACCAGCTAATAACCAGGATATGGAATGAAGAAGACATTCCGGAGGACTGGACCAAGAGCCTTATCTGTATTATCTACAAGAAGGGAGATAGAACTCAGTGTAGCAACTACAGAGGTATCTCCCTACTCTCTGTACCAGGCAAAGTTTTTGAGAAAATCCTCCTGAACAGGATACGTGACCCG